CAGTCTATGCAGTTGTGTACACTCCTGTATACTAGCAATACACAGGGAGAAAAACGTCGGGCTTATACGGTACAATCACCGGGACCGCTGTTACATTCACAGACATGTTTTCCAGCCTCCGTGGAGCATAGATTATATGGCGGTTGTACACAAATGAGTAAAAGTCTAATAAAGAAAACACATACACGAAAGAAATGACTGAAACATTTGATAAATAAAATGAGCTTTTGGTGATAAAGCTAAGAAAAAAAACGTCATAATACGGTTTATAAACGAATGAAGTATCCCACATGCCTTTTACAGCCAGAAAAAAGTCAGTTTGGACTTTCAGTTGCGAGACATGACAAAACAAACGCAGCCATTGATACATTTCGAAAATACAAAATAAATGCAATCAAAAGCGACGACCACGCGCGTTGGAAATAAATGGAATTTAAACAACTAAAGTTACACCACACTTTATTGTTCGCTTTCATATTCTCGGGTCGTTGTCTTGATAAAGACCATGTCACGAAATGTATTAACGGTATTAACAGAAGCAGTAGCGCTATATCTACGGTGAGAATTACCAACCACGACGGTTGCTGCAGCACAATAGGTGGTACACAGTTTAATACAATGGACGCAAGTGCGATTATTTGCCAACAATAGCTAGTTACTAACGAATAGCATCTGAATTAAACTTGTGTAATACAGTATTTTGCCTTCGTGCTAACATGCTATTATCACATGAGATTGCAGATAACATGGGGAACCCCGAAATCCTTCCCGCGCATTATGTTTATTGTTCAGGCCTATACTATAAGCAGCGTGGTTTCTAAAGCCTATTTCTACACTCTTCTGTACGCGACTTTCAACTGCATGTCGGGCGTATACCGCATATGTATGCATGCGATTTGACTACCGGGGTTATCAGTATGCGTTCTTGGTTTTTGTTTGCAAGACAGATTTGTCACCCTGTTGTAATCTAAATTAGTGCCTACATGAATACGAATCGGGAAATACAAAATATAAATTTAGTACGCAGACATTGATTGGTTGACCTCTCTGTCTGCGTCGAAAACGCCTTAACGGTCAATTCTGTTTAGTCCGTGCTCAACTGTGTGGGTCGGTTAGTTCAATTGTTTACTATGCAACGTTCATGTTTTATGGTATTCTACACGTTTCTGTGATTACCAGAAGTTTACACTTTCGTTTGAATTGTTTCGATCACCAATAAATGGAGTTTATATATAACAAGTGATTGTGAGTTTTCAAGTTGTTCCGTTGAAATGTTATTTCATGTTAGAATGTGGCCGATCGAAGTCATCGAACCCAATCACATAACCTGGCCTTTCTGTTACAATTATTATATAAATTAGTGGTTCTCAACTAGAGTTAACTAGTGGGGATTTATGTTTTGCAAAAATATGTCATCTTTATTCACATTGTAGGCTAAATTGAAACAGATAGTACGGTAGTTCTCTTTTTGGAGGATGTGGTGGCCCTGAAAAGGGCCGTTTGGTTTGTGTATGCTAGGCATACGATTTACTTGGATTTGGCGTGGGTTTTCTTGGGCAGGAGTACAGCCTGGATGTTAGGCAGTACACCACCTTGTGCGATGGTTACACCGGACATCAGTTTGTTCAATTCTTCGTCGTTGCGGACAGCCAACTGCAAGTGACGGGGGATGATTCTTGACTTTTTGTTGTCACGGGCGGCGTTACCGGCCAACTCGAGGATTTCAGCGGCCAAGTACTCGAGTACTGCAGCCAAGTAGACTGGAGCACCGGCACCGACACGCTCGGCATAGTTGCCCTTTCTCAGGAAACGATGTACACGACCAACTGGGAACTGCAGACCAGCACGGCTGGAACGAGTCTTGGACTTTCCCTTTGCTTTGCCTCCTTTACCACGACCAGACATATTTGCTTATAAGTTAGTTAGCTAGATGAGAAAACTGTGATAAAGTGACAGTTTTTTGGTAGTATTTATACCTTCCACCCGGATTCTGGCTGATAATTGCCTGAACCAATCACTATCGAGGTCGCGATATTTGTCCAATGGCATTATAGCGTCCTTGAGGGATAAGTAGGCATTGTAATTTAAGTATACTTAAAAGTTGTGTTTTCTCTTGCGTTCGATACATTTCCCGCCTTGCACGTAGAATCCTTCATTTGCATGTCATTCACTATATATAGTTGCTCGGGTGATGTTCCTGGCATTCTGAACATTATTTCTAACGTTCAACATGCCTCCCAAAGCAAGCGGTAAAGCAGCAAAGAAAGGCGGTAAGGCTAAGGCCGCCGCTCGTGGTGGTGACAAGAAGAAGAGAAGGAGGGGGAGGAAAGAATCCTACGGTATTTATATCTACAAGGTGTTGAAACAAGTTCACCCAGACACCGGTGTCTCTTCTAAAGCTATGTCAATCATGAACAGCTTCGTCAACGATATCTTCGAGCGTATCGCATCAGAAGCTTCCCGTTTGGCTCACTACAACAAGCGTAGAACCATCACAAGCAGAGAGATCCAGACCGCCGTCCGTCTTTTGTTGCCTGGTGAGCTTGCTAAGCACGCCGTCAGTGAAGGCACCAAAGCCGTCACCAAGTACACGAGCTCCAAGTAAATTGTATGCCTAGCGTACACAAACCAAACGGCCCTTTTCAGGGCCACCACATCCTTCAAAAAGAGAACTACCGTACTGCCTGTTTCAATGTTAATACAAATGTAATTGTACTGACGTGAAGTATAAAAATTAAATCCCCACTCGTTATCGTCACTAATTTATATAATAATTGTAACTGAAAGGCCAGGTTAAGGTTGGGTTCGGTCGGCCACATTCCAACATGAAATAGGATTTCAACGGAACAACTTGTTAAACATAAACTCCATTTATTGGTGATCGAAACAATTCAAACGAAAGTGTAAAGTTCTGGTAATCACATAAACACGTAGAATGCCATAAAACATGAACGTTGCATACTAGTAGCATAGAACTAAGGGACGACGTCAAAGATCCATGTCGGATAAAAAAAACTTAATTCCTTTAGTTTTTTTCCAAACCCCCCTACCCCCCACTGAAACTTAATTGATGAATATTGGTCATGGCGTCAGACTACAAATTGATAATCGGACAGTAGTATTGCAGAGACGTTGGTTGTCGGGTGGGTGTAAAAAGATTTTACAAATGCACCTCATTTGACGCACAGATTTACACTCGAACCAAACCATTTTTCTGTTTTTTTTTCCCCTTTTCGGTTATTTCTGTCCATGATTGGATAGAAAAAAAAACGAACTACAAATACTCCAAGATTTTTTTGACTTCATTAAAAAATAAAATCGTTTTTGTAGGATGGAAACTTTTTGAGGTTAAAACCCCCCACCCCCAAACTAAAGGAAATAAGTTTTTTATTCGACATCGATCTTTTGACGTCGTCCCTAACTGACCCATACAGATGAGCACGGACTAAACAGAATGGACGTTAAGGCGTTTTCGGCGCAGCCAGAGGTCAACCAATCAATGTCAGCGTACTAAATTAATACTAGAATATCGACCAGAAAGGAAGAATAGAATGTTTTCGATTGATTTCTATACAAACTGGAGCGAAATAATTATGTACAACATCTATAAACACATAACTCGGAATTACTCATTAAATTTAACAAATCACATAGATAAATAAATATATAAAAATTATCAACATCAAAACACAACTATTGCTAGGTTAGTAGATTATTAAAATTTCTCAGAAGGAATTAAAATGGCTGCACCATGGATGTACTAACTACTAGAACACATATTGAAAACATACAAATTCTACAAAAATTACTATATAAAGCACGACAATTATTTTTAAAAATCTACTAATGTACTGTTTTGAACCATTGAAACTAGCGAAGGAGACCCAGCTTACTTATAAACAATGTTTTGTAGCATCCAGTGGCCATCATTCTAGGTTGAATACAAATCTAGCTTATAACCACGATTTGCCCTGGCCTTCTAGCACTAACGCTTAGAGGGACTCTGTGCCAAACAAAAGCGGCCTTTGTTTTAGACATTACGTATAGCTTGAAAAAAGAGACTGGAAATAATAGCAGATACGGAATGCCCCTCAAGGTTACAGTTTATTACATGCATTTGTTTTTAATTTCGCAGAATTCAATTCATTTTTCAGCTCGATTTAAGAAATACCATTACCCCGATGTATATTGTAAGGTTTCAATTCACATTCTATTTCTATAGTACCTGGTATAATTTGTTTTAAATGCACTCTTTTTCTAGACTGTTTTTCTGCGTTCATTCATTGTTCATTCGCTGGTTTTCAATCACACATTAATGCAGCATAGATACAATACATAGTTCACAAGCTAAAATAGATACCCTCAGCTGAAATATAAAAAACAAACATGCAACTTGTGCGTTATGCAGAATATAGGAGTGGAGCTAGGGTACAATTCCGGATTCTGCATCTGCCAGTCTCAGCCAATGAGGTTACGTTAATTTTGACCAATCGTCGGGAGTCTTTATTGTCCAATCACAACATTCCCTACAACTGATTTTACCCAATCACGGAATGGCTTCCAAGATATAAATATTGGCCGCCTATTTTCAAATCCATTATCGTTTGCCTCGAACAGTGGAAGCATCATGGCACGTACCAAGCAAACCGCACGTAAATCTACCGGTGGTAAAGCACCACGTAAACAGTTGGCAACCAAAGCCGCCCGTAAGAGCGCACCAGCCACCGGAGGTGTGAAGAAACCTCATCGTTACAGGCCAGGTACCGTAGCTCTTCGTGAGATCCGTCGTTACCAGAAGAGCACCGAACTCCTGATTCGTAAACTTCCATTCCAGCGTCTTGTACGTGAAATCGCTCAGGATTTCAAAACTGATCTTCGTTTCCAGAGCTCTGCCGTCATGGCCCTGCAAGAAGCCAGCGAAGCCTACCTTGTCGGTCTCTTCGAGGACACCAACTTGTGCGCTATCCACGCCAAGCGTGTCACCATCATGCCCAAGGACATCCAACTCGCCCGTCGTATCCGTGGGGAGCGTGCTTAAATCGTATGCCTAGCATACACAAACCAAACGGCCCTTTTCAGGGCCATCACTTCCTCCAAAAAGAGAACTACCGTACTTTCTTTCATCAATCTACATGGTATATATTAGTATTGAAATTGGATGAGAGGGCACCGTGACATTTCAAAACTAATTGCTCATTGTTCGTGACACGTACCGCAGTCTCTGGTAGAGGGAGAGGGGGGACTGTGCACGTACACGCATTATTGCAATTATATTGTGTAAAACATCTCATTAACAGTGGTCCTTTTCAAGTTCTACTGCAACGAATATTATCGTACATTCGCGTTCAGAATCACATAACTAGGTTGTTTGGTGCATAATTTATTCAATAGTCGACGATGCAATATCCACTTACCACAGCACATATTAGCTGCCAAGCGTCACATGTTCGCCGTGAAAGTAAATTCAAATTTTAGACAGATATTTGTTTACATAGGGATGTTATGACCTAAAATAAACATTACTACGGCTAAAATATAATACTAGTAACACTAAATTTTTTTGGTTTTGCGACCTCTCCTTTGGTAGCACGCCCTCAACGGCAAAACACTCCTTCTGCATGTGTAGTTCTTTATTGCAACAATATTAACACTTCTCATACGATAAATTCGATTCTCGCCCGCACAGTTCTTTATAGCACTGATCTTGTTGTTTTCACTTACCACCAAAATATTCGGCTTACCGCATAAATTTTACACTTCGATTGTTTTTGGTTAGCTGAAGTTGACTATGAATGTGCACAAGGTGACTGCCATTCCATTTATTGAATGTGAATATTAACTTTTGAATGTGTTGAAACATGCATGTTCAAAATATTTTGCAAATCCCGGTATGCTGGATTTTAAGTAATTGCTGATGACGAAATAGCATCCCAGTCATTACAAATTAGTTGCGTGAGTACTGCAACATTCGCCAACACACTACAAATAAAATAGATAGAATTCAATATTGTTCATTTAGTAAATGAAATATACATCATGTCAAACATATTAATTCTCGTGCATATTTGAAATAATGAGACGTACCGTGTGACGGTACCAAAACAAACTTTCAACCATGGGCGACAAGGTGCCAGTGACGGTACAGCGTTTCTACGACAGTACACGGACTCAAAACACAATGACCCAATTTTTAGACCCCTTTCATATTGGGTATACAGAATTAATAAACCTCTTCCAACACAATGGGGTGAATTGAGTATGAGATGATAGGTGCGTTTCAAGACGCGGTATGATTGGAATAACTGCTAAAATTCAGCCTGGAAGCTCCCGTCCTTCACTTGAAGCCTTTAAGCAGTAGCGCATGAAAATCATCAACAGCGCCATCATGCAGTGTTCTAATGACATCTATACTCAACTTCAATTATTCAGACAAATTACACAACATGTATGATAATGCGGTATGCAGTGGTTTCGGTACCACACGCGTTTATTACACATATTCCCCTTTTACAGATGTATTTATACACGAAATAATCAACGCTAAAGACCCATCGCGAAAACATCGACCGCCCAGAAAAATCCAGATATAAAAACCCGTTAAGGGGGGAAAACACCAGGAAAGTGTACCCGTCGCAATGTCAGGTGTACCTACAATGATGTCAGGTGTCATCCATGTGAACAAGTATAATAAATAAAAAACATTGTAAGTTCTTTTCAACCAAGACTGAATACAATAGAATAATCGACCTATTACTTGTATGTATATACTCACAAGCACCTGGATACTTAGCCAGTAACCAATCAGAGCACGGTGGAACCCCACCTGTGAATAATTTACATACGAATGCATTAATGTGTCGCTTTGACTCGTTTTGTTATCGATCATTTATAAAAAAAAAAAAAATCTTTAAATTTGCGAAATTGGGCAGCATTCCTACTAGTCACGGGAAACACCCCTTCCACCTATGCATGACGTCGTTTGCCACGTGATCCGCTAAACCGTAATATCAGTGAGTTCATCATAGAATTGTACCTCCACTTTATATGCACATTCAATTGTGTTTTTCTGATATACATTTAATAATTAGCATTTTTGTTTAAACAACATCTTCTGTTATTGTATAGTTTCTGATTACGATAATTTTGCACCAATTTTAATGTTTTTTCCTAATCATTTACAAATTAATATAGTATTTCTATATCTATTAATATTGGATTATTAGCTTAGCTGTTGTCATGGAGACATGAATTACTCATGCATGTGGTGGGATCCCATAATCTGTCCAGCCACACATACATGTGTCAGAATAGAACACTATGATGAGCGAAAACGAGTCATGTGACCCTCTCGCTCTACACGAGATCTCGGCGTCCATCCACGTTTGTCGTTTACTTGTAAATTATATTTTTGCTAAATGTCCGTGGATATATGTTGATGTCGAATAATAAAACAGTCTGGAATGAAAGAAGTGATCTAAGATAAATGCATACGAACGCTGATAAGGGGACGTACCGCCTTTCGAGGTCGGTATATTTGAACTTTTGGTTAAGAATGGGAATGCGAAATGTGCCACAGCTTTTATCTTGCCTGTAACGAAATGAAAGTTGGCGGTTGTAAAAGAGTCCGGGATATGTGATTTGCTTCCCTGTCTGTCTGTCTGTCTGTCTGTCTGTCTGTCTGTCTGTCTGTCTGTCTGTCTGTCTGTCTGTCATTGTTGTATATTAGGTCTAGGATAACTCAAGTACGTGAATTTTCCTTCATTCTTTATTAAACGTATCCAGTAATTAACTAGGTGCAGCATATTTAGTGCCGTTCGTGATATACCAAGTACATATTATCTCACAGCGGGCGCAAACGACATTAGTACGGGCAACTTCCTTCGGAAAGTTTTTATCATTCAATATTTCAACGAAATACCCCACCAACCGCAAATAAGATTCGTATAGATAAATTACAATTTTCTTTAATAATGTATAGTCATAACAATGTCGCAATATAAAAACAGACATCAACTGTCAGCATAGTACGTACCTTGACAATAATTAATTAAAGCGGGAGGAGTAGTCACCTGCGCATGCGTCAGATGGTCATAGTGTGTCATCGTTAATACAAACAGGCGTCTACGTGTTATTATCGTCGCTTGGGACTCAATTCCGCTTTAAGTGGGATTGTCACAAAATGTAGCAAATCATTTTCATAACATTGGATCATTCGATAGAAATTCCCTCGGTATATTGCAATGTCAATAGGGGCTTCTCTCGGAAAACTTACCCTGCTTACATTAGCTTGAAGCGGGGGAGTCGTCACGTACGCATGCGTCAGATAGCCATAGCGAGTCATTATTTACAAACAAGCGTCTACCCATGAGCATTTGCGTTTTTAGCGTGTGTTGTTATCGTCGCTTGGGACTCAATTCCCGCGCGTGCGCAGGTGACGACCCTCCCGCTTTATATTACGCATTATATGACGTAGAACAAAAACGTATAACATAATTGTGAAATCCATATACAGGCAGGCTGAGATAGTTTCACCATGTTGTATTTATAATCTCCGAGTTTTTACTACTTTTTCTAATATAGAATATGTCCCGGTGAGTGTTTTTATCAAGTTCTTACCAAATGGCTCGGGATCGGTCTGCTATAAGCCCCACAATGCATTGTGTTTTGACACATGCAACATTTAGTCTATACTGAGTTGTACTAAACCGTAACTTAGTCTACAATGGGGTATCAGTTTTAGACAAGAGAACTGGTGATGGTTGTAGAACCATAACTGCCTCAGCTCAAAGATTGTTATGTAATACAGGGGAATGTGAAGGGAAATGTATTGTAGTGTTACTTCTGTGTAATTTACAATATATCTGCATTAACCTTCACTTTGAAGGACAATATGGGAGTTGACTTAAATGACTGGTAGAAGCAAGGCTGGTCAAATTTTGCGAAAAAGTAGTTAGAATTTCCAGATATGCAATCGACACATTGTGGGATATCAAAATATGGATGATAAACCAGCAAGTGATATTTCCCAGAGATGTAGTTGGAATTGAAGCAAAG